GAATTTTAATTAATTTTTCACAATTAAAAGTAGGAGGACTCAAAGATTTTGCTGGCAGTTTTAATAATCCATAAAATAGTTTCTATTATGTTTAATGAAGCTGTTTATAAATGAAAAGGCACTCACTGAGGACGATGTGCCATTGCAACAAGATATTGCAGATATGTAAAACTTAATTGCTCCTATTGCCTATCATTAAATCCAAAAAGAAAGATGAACAAATCCGTTCAAATTAAGTAACATATTTGAAACAATTAAATAAAATTTCAGTATATGAATGTATGTTATGTTGACATCCGCAATATATGTAGATTTGCCGATGTGTTGTCATCGTTAATTGGGTAAGAAGGACAGAAAAAGGTGGAGAAGGGAGGCAAAAAGAAAAAGGAAAGGGCAGGAAATTGTTAAGAAAATAAAAAAAGCAACTCTCTCACGCATCGGACAAAACGCAGCTATTATAGACTACGCCGATCTTCTGCTAGAGGATGATACTTTCCCGGTCGAGCCAACCTCTGTTAGAGCTGCGGTAATTAGACCAGAGCTAGGCTTAACACCATAAAACTAGGTTCATTAGATACAAGATCAGCCTATTAATCCTTGGCAAACTACAGATCCACCCTCGTTAATTAAATATCCAATAAGATACATCCGAAAGGCAGGTAAAATAAAAAAAATATATATAAAAATATATATATTTGTTTTTCTACAAAGAATACTGGCAATTTGTGTGACCAAAACAACCAGTTTGTGTGACCTGTAAGACCTTAACATTAGGGAATTCTATACGCTCCGGGTATCTAGGATATTTGAAAAAAGTAATATATAGTTGTGTAGACGTCAAATATGTGTGAACGGAATTACTACACAATAAAGAAAACTTTCCAAAATATAGTTTTTTTTTTAAGAAATCAGTGGCTATATTATTGGCCCGGCCTACTGTCAACAGTTGTCTTTTATGGCTTATCATTCATAAAATTGGTCACATAAGAAAGGGGAATGTATTATCATTGGATACAATTTAATTACAGTAATATTAAATTACTTAAGTAACGACTAAACTTTCGAATTTAAGTACCATAAAATCCCTAGAGAATTATTTCACGTGACACTCAAGAATAAAACTTTAGTTTGAGACAAATTTTGTATAATTTACAATTAGAACCAAGTTTTAACAATTCAATACTTTGTGAGCCATAACTCCATAAAATACTCTCTGGCTGCGAACGCCTTCAGTACCATTTCATTATTACTACACTTTAATTCCCTGTTAATATTTTACGACGCAAATCCTTTAATATGAAGGATTTTAGAGCCCCGAGTAAAACATAAATTTAAAAATTAATATACGGTCTATACATATATAGCATCTATACTTTCTCATTTTTCTTATTTTCTTTAATAAGTTATTAAAGGCTCCGTTTCAAAAAAATATTATTTGTGTGGTCCCAAATATAGTTCGCAAAATTGTAATTTAAATAAATACATTTATACAAAAATGTAAGTAACTGCACTGTATTTGTATTTAGGAAATCTTATATTACAGGTGACTTTTTCTTATTTGTGATTTGTAAGTAATAATTACTTAATTTTAATTTCTACATAATAAAGCTTTTTGCAATTTTTTTTTCAAAAATGCATAAATATAAATTAAAAAAAAATAGTTTTAAGCAAGTTCATTAAATAATATATAGAGCAAAGGTGTAATCCGAAAGTGAATAAACGAAAATAAAAAAATAAGCTAAATTAAAAGTCATCTGCTCTATTATTTATACCTAAACACTTTATTTGGCATTGCAGCGAGTATGAGACACGGCGATCGTTGTAGCTACTGCGGTTCCGATGCGGTACCCACGGAAAATTTATGTACCACTGGGCGTACAAGGCTGGCCTCTACCAAGAACCCCAAAATAAATTCAAACCAGAACGCTGTGCTTTAGTTGCGCATACTCCAATGCCGACAAATTTCCATAGTTATAAATAGCCTGCTCTAGAAAAACACCCTTCTACATCAAATAACGGCGCATGATTCTAATTTAAACAAACTTATTGGTAGCCAGTGAATCCTTAGAGGGACAACCCCTTTTAAATATTAAATTTCCTCAGAATTTTAAACAAGAGTATTAGGCACGGTGTGTATATTAAATATTAATTATGCTATTTGAGCGTACTCGAGGAAGCCAAATACAGGTTTTTTTTAATAGTTATTCTCTTTTGTAATGGCCAATTCAAGTATGTAATGAGATAGCAAGACATAGACTTCCCTAAGGACTACTGAATATTGAAGCTAATATACCCTAAGATTTTCGTATAATTAATTTAATCGTGTACCAAAAGAATTATTCATAAGCCCATTACACGAATTCTACAAAACTATATTTTCATTTCGAAACCGCTCCTACAATAAAGTATTTTTAAGAAGTGACTAACAATTTTAAAAATGTATCTGAAATACCGGTCTTAAAGGTTTTAATATGAAAATTTTCTGAGGAATCCCTTAACAGGGCAGCAGTGTCAGGTTATCTTTTAATTTCGGCTTAATAGAGCCTTGGTACCAATATTCTCGTCTTAAGTTGTCGTTTTTTAATTCTAAAGATGATGGTATGTATTTACAAAATACTATATCCTTATGTTGATTATTGTAATAGAAACGAATGTAATTGATAAATGGGCATTACATATATGAGTAAATTTAATTAAGTTTTTAATAGTTAGTAATCTCATGCTAAAGAAGAGTAATCAAAACTTCGGTCTGAAAATATTATATTTTGTCTCGGCTATATGGATCCTACAATTTTATACTTGTTGGGACTTGTGAGTTTTGCTTTTAACGTAAAAGCAGAACCCGCGTTTAATGGAAACTTTGACGTTATACAATAAGAGTTAAATGTAAAATATTTGAGGTAAAAAATTTCCTCTCATACTATAAATATTTTCTTCAAGCTTTTACACCAAATCAAATGGAAATCCTATTATAACTCCTAACATATAAAATATTAAAAAAACAAAATATGTGTTAAAAGTTTAAGTTACAAAATTAGATGACTACATCATCTGTCATGAAAACTGTATAAATTACTTATAGTCTCAATACATACATCTATATAGAATTACCATGCCACAATTAAAACACCTTGACAACGGTGTCGCTGCTCATTTGTCTCCGTAATAAATTGTTTTTCCCTGGTTTCACACGTTTCACGTAATTTGTTCACGTGATATATCACTCGACTCTATGTGGATTAGAAGTGTCTGTCTGTATGATTAAGACATGGGATGTGCTAAACCTTAAACAAAAACTTTTGCTGGAAAGGTTATAATACCATGATACCTAACTGTTGTTTAAATATATGACCCGAATATTTATCACGTAAACTAAATTGTATATAAATTCCCTGAAAATCCTGTTAATTTAAGAGACTATTAATTATTGTATGTATTGCTACCTGGAACTAGGTCTTAAGATACTTATGTTATAAAAAATATTCCTTGATTGAAATATTGTTTCGTCTATAAATATTACACCTCGATAATCTATTTACAATTTGAATAACATAATTGCCAATTCCTTACATGCACAATATTTAAAACCATATAATATTTATTTACGTAAATTATATGTAGAAATATGTGTATCTAGCTATACTTATTATCAAGCTTCGGACGATTTGTTTATATTGGCATCACCTGTTACTTCCTAACATTACAAGCAGATCAATCAAAGTAAGCAACGCAATCAATCAGAATTTTTACAGTTCAATTTGTACGCATTTCTTAAATGGAAAACAAAAGTATTTCTACACCTGCTACATTAAAACGTATAATTAATAATACAGAGATATTCAAACCTTATAAATGAAACATTTTTAACTAGTTTGATACGACTGATTGAATATACAGTATAGATAAAACTATGAAAACAAACTCCTCTATCCTTAAATTATTTGGAATAAAGGCAAAATTAAGAGATTTTTATTTATTCCTTATACGTGCAATACATTGAAAGTAATTACTTATAGGATTATATATTGTAAAAGGAAAACCCAGTACAAGAACAAATTACAAATTTCCCTTTATCCCTTGCTGACGTCATGTATTGTATGCCTTTTTATTAAGGGTAGCCATTAACTAAATAAACTAAAAAAAAATGTGTCTGTGATGCCGTTTCACGGCGTATGTACACAGTATGTCTTTCAATAACAATCCATACAACAAAAGATAACAACTATTTTTGAATGGCACGATAAACATGTGATACGCCTTTTTTTTGCTTTTCCCCTTAAAGTAAACATTCTATTACACATGGAATAAAATCTCAGCCAAAATATGGGTTTCCATTTTTCTCAATATCTTAACATAGTATTTGATTTGCATTATAACAAAGGTAGTGTAAGGTACCGTTGATTTTAGAAATATTTTCAATGGAGTGGAAAATTAAGTCTTTATTCATTTTTCATCGATTAGTTATATACGTAGATATTTTTCTGTGTCCATATGTATGTTGAAGATGAAAACAAATTGTAAATAAAGTTGGTACACATTAAACCCTCAGATTAACACTGTTTAAAAGCACTTTTAAAAAGCGGTAGTAAAAAGTGTGTACGTAGATTAATTGGTTGTATCAAAGTAGACACCCTCGAGCTACCTCGGGCACTGTGTAAATATCAGAGAGGAAGGACGACACAACACAGTCTAACAATTTAAGACATTAACCCTAGTCTTCTATCGCAAGGAGAATGTTATTTATTAACATTTCGCTTAAGAAAGATAATTAATGATTTTCGTGACAGTACTACCTGGGAAAAGTAACGATTTGGTTTTTAGGACCATTTTCTTAATGTTTCTAAAAGTGCAAGATTGTACAATTCATACTTTTGTAAAGATTAATATTTATTACACCATTAAATTGTATGGAAGAATTTTAAACTCCTATCAAACTAATACAATATATATAGTTATTTTAATAATTTTGGATAATATAAACAATGTTTTTTTTTCTTTAGCTGAGATCGGGAGCTGTGAAGTACCACTAGGCATGCAGAACGGTATGATATCAAATGAGTCCCTTGCCGCTAGTTCCAGTTATGACCAGAGCGTGTCTCCACTAAGTTCAAGGTAAATTTAGAAATACGTTGTATACAAAATGAGAATTTTAATGTTATATCCAAAAATTAAGTAATGGAATTGCAGAAAACACTCTAAACATATTATTAATAATAAGTTACAGACTGTATACATTATTGAAATTTCGAAATAATTTCATACAAGTGCATTTTAACTAATGTAGATGCAAATATGAATGCGATTTAAAACATACGACGAGTTGTTTATTTTGATCACTCCGCAATAATACACGACAAAAATATTTTTTCTGTGTTTATTGTACGATTGATAACTTTGTATTTAATATTATAAAGTGTTATTTAATTAAGGAAGAGTAATATTTAAGACATAAAAAAAATCGAATCAGTGGATAATGCTTAGATTTCTACTACAAATGGATGTAAATAAATATTGTTTTAAGAACTGTTTTCCTAAAGCAATATAATAACCCGCCCCAAAATCTTAAAAAATAAAATGCAATGTACCTCTGATAAACTTTCAAAAAGGAAAAACGTTAAACTTCCCAACAGAATATTTGAAATAATTTTAATTAAAATTCGTTCTTTATAAATTACTTTTAAAACTATTTAGTTAAGCAAGAATGGTTCTTTTCCTTCAAACAACTTTGTTTAATTTAAATACGGTATAATATGCTAGTTTAGAGCAATTTGCCACAAAATCGATATTTGGAATTTAAATAGCCATTGTCGTACAATAACAAAGCAACATGATACGGCGGAGTAGTTACAATAATTGTGAATCCGGTGACCACAAAACGCTCATACTTAGCTCAAACAACAGAGGGTTTCACGTTCGGGCCACAAGCTTGACACGAGACAATAGAGCGAAAACTTGACGCTCGTTACAGTTTAGAAACAGAAAATTAAATTTTCATGTGAATTTAGAGTGACTGTGATCTTGTGTAAGATTTTTAGGTCAAAAATAAGAAAATACAATTCTTGCTTATCACCAACGTCTTTGCACTGTGATGGTTGTGTGTAGGGTCAGAAGTCATTTAGCTTAGGTACCTGATTTAAGTTCAAAATTTACAATCTTTGTTAGCTGTGTGCTTAATGAGATTACAGATAGATATTCAAATGAAACGGTCGCTATCAACAGTCTCAAAACCCCTTCTGTTGACAGACGAAGCACTGAGACCTCTCAGACTATTTACTCGCAATATAGCGCTAATTTTATTTACTTATGCTTTCACTCGTGTCTATTACAGTGTTCAAACGTTTCTCAAATTAAAAGCGATATATATCTGCAAAAGAACATATAATTAAGTTTCTTAAAATTAAACGCATTCTATACATGGTCTGAAATGCTCATATTATATTAACGTATAATTATGCATAAAACGTTTATCCATTCATAATTATTCCTTTGTCTTAATAGAATTAGAACGGAGATACGAGGAGGCGCTTGGTGTCCTAATGGTTTGATATCCCCTCGAAGTCGTCAATACTTGGAAATAGATTTACACGATGAATACCTGATCACTGCAACGGAGTCACAGGGCAGGTTCGCCAACTCTGTTGGAGTAGAGTTTGTTGAGAGTTATTCGGTTGAGTACTGGCGGAACGTTTTGAGCCGTTGGGTCAAATACAAGGACTTCAATGGCAGCCGTGTAAGTTATAATTTAGTTTTAAGCTGATGATATTTTTTATTGCGATAAAGGAAGCTTATTGAGATGTATTTTAATTTCATATTCTAATTTGATTCGAAACACAGTTAATTATGCTCAAAGTCCTGACATTTCTGTATGACTAATCAAAACTTGAGAGGAAAATACGATAACGTTTAAACATCAACATGACTGACGTGACCGAAACTCGCCATAGTCAGAAATCAAAGAAACAAACTTCAGTTAAATCTTGCGAACATCAAACGTCTCATTTTATCAAACAATCATCCCTCAAATTATTAAAGCAACGTAAAATTTGAGTAATTTTACCAGTCATTATTATATTATTTTTTTAATAACTAACCTTAAATTACTAATAGAATGAAAATTGTTTTAATTAAAACAATTAATAATCTACGGTCTTGACTCATCAATGTAAAATCAGATGGTTTTTAATGAATAACAAATTACATTTTTGTAACAGCTAATTCCAGGCAATGTCAATACTTATACACCGAGAAAGACCACATTAGAAGCCCCATTTGTTGCTTCCAAAGTGAGGTTCTTTCCATACGCCGCACATCCACGAACAGCTTGCATGCGTGTCGAAATCTATGGCTGCCGCTGGAAACGTAGGTACAACAAGCGTTATATTTAAATTGCTGGCGATATCTCTGGATATGGTACTCTGCGAATTATTACTGCGATGGATAATTTGGTCTTAACTACTTTGTATAATACTTTTTACTTTATAGCTATGTTAATGTATTAAAACCGATTTCGCCTCATGGAAATATTCTATAATGTTTGTCGAGAAATTCTGGCTCTGCGATCAAGCCCGCCTACGGCGGTTTATTCAATATTACATTATGTCTACAGAGGCCCTCGTCGCGTATTCAGCACCCCAAGGAGGAGATATGCAAGCTATGACTGGTGGGGCACGTTTTGAAGATCTCTCATATGATGGTATCATGCGCAACGGCAACATGATAAATGGACTTGGTCAAATAACTGATTCCTTCATTGGCCCAAATGACTTCGAACTACCAGATCCCCTAGATACTCGGGGTATTAAAAATTTCATCAAAAATAAGTTTTATCATAATATTTATCTGAAATCATTCAATATAATTTATCATTTTAGGTACCCGATGGGTCGGTTGGAATAAAACAATGCTAACCAATGATGAAATTAACATAACTTTCAACTTCACCGACCCAAGACTTTTTCATTTCATGGACGTTCACACTAATAACATGTTTACAAAAGACGTGCAGGTACATTATTTTAAGATAACCTATTGAAAATATAATCTTATTTAGTAACACAGAAAATTGTTATTGAGATAATTAATAAAATCTCTCAATATCTCTTGAAGTCAATAAACAGATGTGCGTGACCTACAGTTCCAGCACAGAAGTTACTGATTTCAGTTTTAAATAATAAATTACGATACAAAAAAATACAGAAATGTGATATTCTAGTAAATGTTACAACAAAAATATTTGTTTTTTTACGTAAGTGGTTCAAAACTTAGTTTGAACATAGTTTACTTTCACACTTAGATTGATCTCCTGATAGTTAATTAAATAGACTAATATCAGAGTGGAATTGTCATATTTTTAGACTGAATGACAAATATTATACGAATTATTCTTTTGCTATTAAATTATTTTAATATTACGTGTTTGGGGAAAAATTTATACTTTTCTTTTTCATAGTGTTTGTAATTTCGTTATTTGCATATTAAATAATCTATGTTCAGATGTCATAACATTTTCTATTATTACAGTTGTTCAAAGAAGCAGAGGTGTACTTTTCTCTAGAAGGGGAACGTTGGCAAGAAGACTTTATTTCTTACGAACCCAAACAAGACAGAGTCTCCGAACATGCTCGTACAATCCATATTGATCTAGAGAACAGGACAGCGAAACATATCAAGATGAAACTAAAGTTTCAACATGAATGGATCCTTATCAGCGAAGTCACTTTTAAATCTGGTAAGTACTTTCATAACAAAATTACTATTCAGCATAATCACAATTTTTGTATAATTTTTTGAATAAACTACGTGATTTGTTGCAAATGAAACGATTTACGAGGTCGCTATTAACAAACAATTTTGAAGTTTAAATAAAAATGTTATAGAAATATCTAACCATTTGTTTTCTTATAATAGTAATATAAAATATTAACAGGCAGTGTAAAGGATTAAATTCTCTTAGTATTAAATCAACGCAAATGAGAGATAATTTTATTTGTACTGAGTTCTCGACTCGTTTAATGTGAACCCAATAAACACTTTATTCTGTGAAAAACCACTCTCGAAATTTTGAGAACGGAATATGGAACAGTTTGTTCAAATAACAGATTTGTCTCTTAAATCAAACAAGTTAAAGCGAGAAATGTTTGTGAAAATTTATAAACAGATCTAAGAATCAGACGCAATTATTATAAATACATCAAAACCTATGATAATTTGGTTGAAATGATGAACTTAAATCGAGGATCGTTTTCTTCATAATTAAAAATAAAATTGTTTTATAAAATAATTCTTAATATTACTTTTTTTAAAGGCTCCTTTCAAATCCATTGAATACATCAGTTTCAATATATCTATGTAGTTATCAGCACATCAATTATGTGAATATAAGTAATCTTATTTATAGTATTAAAAGCATTGTTAATATTTTACTGCCTACAAGTAAAAATTACATGTAAGATCTTTTCTCCATTATCCTTTGAACGTTATCTATCTGGAACACTCGCGAACTTCGCGCGATAACACAAATTTAATCTTTACCCAATTAATCCGGGATTCCTCCACAGTGTACAGCTTCTTTAGTTATAAATCGTTTTCATGTGATGTATAAAATGTAATTAAGAGGGATAGTTGATCTGGATTACTGTGAACCGATTACAGCCTTAATATCGGAAACGGATAATTAAATACGATTGACTAGTTTTATCAACTTTAATTATAAAAAGTTAATTTTTAAAGAAAGTTGATATTTTGAACATCATCAGTAAACTACATATATCATATAGTAATATATATAGTTAGTTAGTTATGGAACAGTTATTAATGTTGCCTCCATGTAGTAATCAATCTTTATGCGACGAAAGTCATTATTACAGCTATTTGTGGACCTAAATCTTAATACAATAAAGATCTTTCTTAATTGGCACAGTTTGTTTAAGCCTCAATAGAGTTCTAATTAAAGACAGATTGCTACAATTTTCTTTGTCACAAGTTTTAACTAGGTAAATAATTCGTCAGAATTTTCTTGTACTTTTTGATAATATTTAACGTTTTCCAATTTCTTAGTCTGTTACATGTCTTTAACAGTAAGTCTACAAAAATGTTTATACTTGTTTCAAAAGCAAATGTATATTGAAATGAAACCACGAAGTAGTTATTCATAATATTTACAATAACAAATACATATAAAGCCAGAACAACCAGCAAGTCCACACATTGCTTTTACTCGTCTTCAATAGTATATATATATATTCTTAATTTATGTTCTTAACATCTGCTGCCATCAAAATAAAACTCTTTTTACTTTATCACCGAATGTTCTAATTTAAAGCCAGTCTTTTATTATTTAAAAATTTTAATCAACAGTTGGTATGACTATAATACACAACCTCACATCAACTTCTGTTTAAAATGTAGAAGATTTGAGGTTTAATTTATTAACAACGTCTATTAGTACTAAACACTGATAACTAAAGGCCGTTCTATTTCTTGACCTAAATAAATAGTTACAAACTGATCTACTATTTCATTAGAACATCGATTAACTATTTACTATAATATGTATCTGCTTGTAATTATCTTCTATAGGACTGAAGATTAGCAATACATTTGGGAACAGGATATTTTCCAAACAAATATGTTATTTATAATCGACAATATCCATATAATATACGTCATAAACTCATTTTTCATTAAATTTAAATTGACCTACTATACAGACAAATGTTATACAATTAGAAATTAGCAGAGTGTCAAGTGACTCTTGGCACCTAGTCGATTTAAAACTGGCACGTCGCCATTCCCCTCACCTCAGTTTAGACTTACCCGGAGTTTTACTAGTTTGACATATTAACGACTTTGCCAACCTCAACAACTCCCCCAGTTATGGAGTTTTATGGCAATAGGTATCTATATAACGAGATTTGCTTACAATTTTAATTAAACTAAAATTAGAAACCTATTCAAATAACCAACATTGATAGTAGGTAAATCTTTTCATGCTTGAATTTGATATCGGTATACTTATATCAGCAGATGCACCAAGGTTGAGCCAGAATATATAGCTAACGGCTCATACCCTCAATTTGTATACGTTATATGACATATTAATAAAGTTTTAGTAGGTGCAAGAAAATACAAAACGCTAGACAAGTAGTTTTAATAAAGTATGTTTGTGTTAGAATTTTATAATAAACATAATTATTAATTTGGTATCCAATCAAGATCTCAGATAATTATTATCATATATAAAGCTTAAAAAGACTCTTAAAAACTATTCATTAGTATTGCCACAACTCACGTCCTTATGAAGAAGAACATATTTTTATCAACAAATGTAAATCCTTTTTGTTTACCATTAAAAGGGAAATCTTCAAAACGAAGACTATTCTGTTTACACATTTTCCCGAAATGGCTTTAAAAGTTGTTGAAAAAGAGTCCTAAAATTTTTATCACGGAATTCAAACAATTGCTTTTATCTTTGGAACGCGTCAAAACCGTTTCTCAAATAATTCCTCGTTTTAAAGAAAACAGTTTAACAAACAATAAATTTTATATTAACAGACATCATTGCTGCTTAATTACCATTCAGAAAACAGCTTTAGAATGTACGACTCTTCCTTAATTGTGCCAAAGTAATCAGGATGCATCTAACAAACCATTATAATAAATAATCTTTCGTTCCGCTCGACGTCTGCTGAGGACAAAATCTACCCGCTCACAACTTAGCTCCAATTCCTTTGTGAAACAACAATTAGGTCTGCGGTCGACACCTATTCATTTCTGTGCTTTGTCTTAACCTAAGACGGGACTATTTCTTTAATTTTGTAGGCTAAATTATAGAACTACCCTTTTAAAATTTGCTCGTTGATGATAAAAGCCAGACTCTTTAAAACTTAAAAATCTTAATCCAATTTTATTTAAATAATTAAATTTTAGGTCGCTTATCAAAATCTTTATCTAAGTGTACACTATTTATTTTAAAATAATAACAATAATCAGCGGTACATATTATTCACATTCAAATTTCTTCATCTCAGTTCCAACAGTTATCAATTCATCAGCGGAATTTCTTGAGGAATATTATCGAAGTGACTCACCTCCATATTCAAGAAAGAAAAGAAATTCCTCTTTACGAGTATCTGTGGGTCTTGCTTGCGGAGCCGTCGTTGGGGTCGGGGCTTGTATTGCAGCCATAGCTGTGTTAATAACGAAGCGAACCAGAAGGAGGATACCGAATGTTTTGAAGAAACCTTTTTGTCCATCACTAAGAAATGCTAATGCTCGAAATAATCGCAGAGCGCCCAGGCTTGCTTTAGCATTAGCAAATTGTCCACCAATTCACATGCTCCGGTAATTATAGAAAATGCATATTATTATTATATTAAAATCTATAAATAACAAAAAAAGAGTTCTACTTTTGTAATGTAGTTCAAATAATTTTTAAAATCTTTATATTGTAAAAACTCAAAGTAATTCAACAGATATTTAAAGATATAAATGTATAAAGAACCTGCACAAAACAATTGCAATAATTGGTCATCTACGGGCCATTAGTAAATTTATATGAGTTGAAAACGATACGCTTTTCTATTGTTCTGCACTTTTCACCTTCATAATAATATTTGTTTTGCATATTGTAAATTTAGAAGTCATTTTTTCTATTCTACATTTTTCTATAGGCCTGCCGTAGTTGACGAGGACTACAGGGAACCTTACAACATATGGAGAGAAACACTTGGTCGACGAGATAAACAAGAGATTCATGATCAAAACGAATACAACGGTAAGTCTTGTCAAACAGGTAAATATTTAGGGAACCGCCTTATCCTACACACGCTTTTGAAGTAAGTAAGTAATTTTACGTTTATTACAATTGTACAAAAAAAGTCTAAATAATATACCGTCAGATTTTTCAGCAAAAAGTCAAAAAACTACTTTTGCAAGCTGCCATTGAACTTAAGCTATATGTTGTTTAACAATATTATACAAAGCAAGCTGCAATTTTGTATATATCTATAATAGTCATTTGTCACAATATTTATATAAAAAAAACATACTATAATTATATAACATACCATTTTAATATTGTTACGTCATATACAAAAATTCAGTTACAACATTTTGTTTTATCATTCCGGTTTCTGAGATTGCTTTAAAAGTCTTTGTTTTTTATAATTATCTAATATTTTCCGTTCAAAACTTTAAAATATGGTCAGGAACAATAACATAAGAAAAAAATTATATCAAATAATTGTGAACAATATATTTAAGGGAAAATCAGATGAAAGCGCTTCACGATACAATTTCCGCTTGACCACTTCTGTTTGATCCCACAATATTTCCCCATATTTACTTAAAAAACACATTACACTGCTACGTTAATCAAATACCTAGTGGGCATTTTCCACGTACGTAAACATACAAGAACAATGGCATCACAAACATTGAAATGTATATATGTATACACAAAATGTACGTATTTCCTTTCATGTAACCTTCCATTTATTTAAAATAATTTGATAAAAAGTTTTAAACCACCATCATAAATATTTCTAACAACCGCCACTCCCTCAAAAATTAGACGAAACACGAACTGAAAACGTTAAACTGTAATGAAAGTTGATGTCGGAATATCCTTGTTAACTAAGCTTTGCAAATGAACAACTACTACGCCTTTGTGTTTTTTCTATTACCAGGTTTAGCGTTCTTTATATTCAGATTCAGTTAATGTTATTGCTATAGTTCATACTAATACTGAAGGTTTCTTATTTATCACAAGTCGCGGATAGTACATACATTATTTGTTTGTCATCTGTCTTTTCTTTTATTAATTTGACTTTATTGTTATCTTAGCCAAATCAAATATTATAAAAAAATTAGCATATTCATCTAACTTACAGTCAGAACTGTCATTACATCATACTATATTAAGTATGAATTCATTTGAACAATATAATTGTCAAGTAAAATTATTTAAAAACAAATAAATATATAGTTTTAATCTTATTATTAAAAACAATAAAATCAACTTGTAACGAAAAAGTTTAGAAGTTGTATTTTCTTTGTTTATTTTCGAAATTTTGTATAAAATCACACACCTGGTTCCAATACTGAGGAAAACAATTTTGAGACATCAAGAAAGGTAACTAGCGTGAAATTGGGTCAATTCTGTACAAACATGTGTCAAAGCAAAGACTTGGATGGAAACATCTGCGAGAAGACTAATTACAGGTCAGCCGCTTCAGTCTTGACTTATTTAACGTTCATAATATACAACAAATTTTTTTTGGCTTCACTGAAATAATTTACAAAAAATCTTTGCTCCAATTAAAAGATTATATTAAAATTATATAACATTTTTCTGTATTAACTACTTATCAAAACTGAATATTTTTAACGGAATGCTTTTGTTTATTTTCGACTTTAATTGTTTGTAATAAGGGCCAAGCATCCGCCTCTGGTTGCCTTGCCCACAACACTCGACTCCATCTTCAGTGCACTAGTTAGGTTTTCAAGAGCACTTGCCACTACTCTGTTACTTATCATCTTTTCAACCTGTACTCCACTTTCTACAATTTCTAGCATTCTTAAAATCAATTAACCTTATTGTAAAATTACTCATGAATTATCGACCCAACTATTACAGGAATGTAATAAAATAATATAATTTGAAAATTATTTCCAGAACCATTAATATTAAATGTATTTGAATTTGATTACACTTTTGCCAATTCTAATTTTAATTAATTATTTATGTAATATTGTTTCTTTACGTAAAACTCCTTTTAAAAGTGCTAAATGTCAATTTAAATATGAAATTGACGAATATGAGATAACAAAGAAATTTATAGAAACACTGCTAACAAAAAAGGGCTTCCATTCCGTAGTATACAAAGGGTATAAAATGCGAAACGATAAAAATCGGTTGACATTTCAAAAATAAAAATATGATGACAATGGCAAGAAATATTTGTATACAAGTTATACGGGTTACATTTTTTTCTTACACGCACCTAATAGGAAGACCTATACTTTTTCTGAAGAGTGCAGAGTGCTTTATTATTGAGCTTCTTAACAAGTGGCCTTCCTTTTTTCTAGTATCTAGTGTAACATTTTCTTAAATCAAATGCAACATGATTTTTAAATTGTTTTGATACCAATAAATTAATGTTGCTCTCGATAGGGGTCAAAAAAGATCATTTGATATGTCTATTGTTCAAAAATTATAATAAAAAAAAGAAATTTAGGTGTGTCCTTAATCTTATTTACTAAGAATTCTACTACTTGGATAAAAAAAGATACAGCACCTTTATTACATTAGGTATTTAAAATATGTTATAATTACATAATTATTTAAACAAAATAACAATCATACATAAACAGCGTGTCCTTTTGTCAACAGAAATTTGCGAGGATCCTGAGTTCCCCCGACCCTACATGATGAAACGACCCGATCCGCATGAAAGTTTCTACGCAGCCACAGACATTATTCATCACGTAAGTAAAAAAATATTGCTACCTTTTGAACTCTGATTTTCATTTTTTAAAAACAAAATAAAAAAAACTAACACACTTTGATAAAAGTAGAATGTTACGGGTACGATCTATAAATATCAATTATTACTTAGTGCATAATAACAATTATCTCTAGTAATATTTGGAAAAATTTCAATAAAAGAGACTCAATCATCAACTTCCTTTTAAGCAGAGCTCGGGTCAAACAATGTTTATTTAAATTAATTGCCTTATTATTCCTTAATCTTTGCTATTTATTCTTCACCAGTTCGACTTCCAATCGTTTTATAAATTTAATTAAAATAATAAAACCAATCTAAATTCCAATAAAGGGATGAATTATAAATCCATTATTGAACACAATACTCGCATTTCTATTTCGCTGCAACGAAACATTATTCATTGAATTTTTAGAAAACTATGAGGGCTCCATTTTATTTGATAACTTTTACTTACACTTTATATTTATATTTTTTAATTATTTAAAAAGATAAAAGAGCATTTACACTATTTTTATTGAGAATAAACAATCTCATTACACTATTTGAGGTAAGCTGCAAATTAAAATTTCAAAGCTACAAATGAATTTTGTTTTATTTAGTATAAAGGCGTATAAATGTGGACAAGTATCGCCAAAAGAATCATAAAGTCGGTATCCTATATCCCAGATACACACTGATTTCCCGGAGGACGCGCGCTGCAGCAAACATACCGATTGATTGTTAATTTATAATGAGTTAAATAAACAAAACGGATTTTTGATATTGCCTTTTAATAGATACATATTATATTAGCCACTGCTTAACAAAATTGTTACGTAAAAAGTAAATAATACTAACGCTCTAATTGCATATTCTATACAAAACTTATTGGTTATATATAACGTTCATTCTAATTTAGACTAATGTATTAAAGTTACAATGCCTCTCATCTTGGTCGGCAATTTTGGCGCAGACCTAATTGAATAGTCGAAAAACATTTTCCGATCGCTTCGATGTTCAAACTCGACCAGCTAAACAGATTAGGAAAACCACAGCGCTACCTACATTGATACAAAATTGTGTAAGCCTAGAACCAATTTTGGAAACAATAATGAAGTTTAAAATAATAGTTTTAAACTACAATGAAGGTTACCGATAAAGTACAAAATTCTAGAATATGCTTCAGGGAAGATATTTTGGTTATGCTGATGCTATTGTAGACATGGTCAAGATTTTACGCTTTTTGAATTCACGCGTAATTATACAAAGGGTTTTCGTTTTCTAGCCCACCGCATCGGTAAGTCCGAATTAAACTCCTGTTAAAGGCAGCTCGTGTATAAAAGACTCATTGAAGACACGACGGGTCAAACGCTTTGCCATCATTAAATGTTTTATAACATAGTTTATCTTATAATAAAATTCTTTATTATTTCTATTTTCTTTCTTATTATTATTTATAATTTTAATTTAATAAACAAGTTCATAATCTCGTAATTTGTTATTGAAGTTTCAACATAAACTGTGTTTATACAACTGCACGTCGAAATTGATTACTAAATACGTACGTGGAGTACCGACCCTCAATAGACAGACAAAACTACCCTCGAGGTATTTGCTCAACACCTGATCATTCCCTCCCTTGAAATAATACAGATACGTCCACTATCCTGTTAATTAATTTCTTAATATCAATGCTGCGTCATATAGACGAATTTAATTAAAATTTGCACATAATATTGTAGAATGAATAAAATATCGTCCATTTAATGAAATTAATGTTTGTCAAATAATAATTAACATAAAGACACACATAAAAAAAACAAGGTAAATAACTTAAATAGTGTATGTTGAAATAAAATGTTTATTCAACTAGAACTAAATAACTTTTAATAAATTGTATCAAATTTTGCATAGAATACCTCTGGAAACAGATTATTGTTATTGGGACTGCTTCGAAACTATTTTTCCAAAATATGCTTTCTTCTTATGAAATGTTCATTATAATATAAAATCAGTTATCAAGCCAAATATGTATAACAAATAATAAGATAAATTATTTAACTAGAATTATTAAGTGTTTAAACCAAATAATGCAAAATTACTGAATGCTGACTTCAAATCTGAAGACTTTTTTATTAATATAGAATTCTTATTTCAACAATGCTAACTTAATATATTTGAAGTCATTTTGAAAATAAAAGGTTTCAGATGATAACAAAATCTGTTATTTTTTATGGTTTTTTAAAGTATTTGTGATAAAATGTAAAGTTAAACAAAAACAAAATCGAAGTAGGAGTTTAGTAATACTGAAATGAAATGAGTATATAGCTACTTTTTGTTTTCTTATTTATTTTATCTATTGATCTTTTCAGAACTATTATAGCGGTAAAATAGACTTACATCGATAATGTGTGGTTACTGGTGTTGTATGAAAATTAAAGATGTTTTATTGTAAACGTGCCATATGACTCACGCTTTGTTACACCAACTTCATACATTTTTGTTTCAATTCGAAGCAATCGACGGACGTTACAAAATTATTGGCTAGGCCTCCTGAATACCGTTCATACGAGTTGCGCATAACAATATCCATAGGAAAACAAAACAGAAATAAAATTTGGAAATATGTATATTAGCGAAACACCGTGCACAAAAAGTACAGAAATGAATTTTGTAAGTTATAATGAATGACAAACTTCTAGATTTAGCTTTACCCTCGAGATCGCAATGGAACTAGCTCAAGGTTTTTATATGAAGAACGTTCTTTTTATTCCTGAAGAATATATGAAGACTTTTTTTAACATCGCTCATTTATATGACAAAAATTCTCTTTTTAGCACTTGTTATATAGACAATGAATGAACTGAATTTTGTTCGTATGAAATAATGAACCATATAAAAAATGGCTTACATAAATATTCATAAAGTTCTGCGAGCAAAACTAATTTGAAGATAAAAAAAATTGTCTTTATAAAGTTAAATAAAAATAAATACCTTTTTTTATTTTTTTAGAAAATATATATTTACCTTTGTTTTAAAACGGGAAGTGCTAATACGGGAAAACATGTTTTTCAATTAACAAAGTTGAATTCTATATATGTCTTGAGGATTGTATAATGATTATTGATTCATGTCAACCTCATAAAACCAAATACTAAGATATGAAACCAATCAAACAGGATATGTGATTTTCGAACACTCAAAAGAAATTATATATTATAATAATTTATTGACTATATTCCTTTAGGATACTGTATATAGGTATTCTTTACTCTTGAAATTTAAAATTTATATATATATATATATATATATATATATATATATATTTGTGCTTTTTTAAAACAAACTTTTCATTTGAGTTATATGGGTAATTTATCCTAAATTGTTTTCCTCACGACAGCACATTTTCCGAAAAAGACTTTTTAACATTTTTCTTTGTATCTTATTTATAAAACTTATCATAGAAATCGAATCAGGAATTATTTATAAAGTCAAACGACAATGGTCTACGTCTGCATAAAAGAATTTTGTTCTAAGATTGCTATTCGATTTCAATAGAAGTGTAAGTGACTTGGAAATAGGCACTTGTTTATGGCTTGATAGGTAACAATTCGATATAGAGTCTCGGCGGAATCAAAATGCATTTTAGATTAATTTATATTTCATGTTGCATCAGATAGCTACTCCTACTCGACACTATTTCTATTTCTCAATATCGAATTACGATAAGAATAAGAGGTAAGAAGTTGATGTAGTACAGTGAAATTCCATTAACTGCTTCCATTAATTCTTAAGTGCTAATGAGTTTAGTGACCTCGTATTAATTGTATTGTTGAATGCATCCAGCTCTCAACATGAATGATTCTCATCATTCAATACTCAATGATCATTCCATTGTCCTTTAAAGCGGGAGTGAGAGCTTGAAGTGGCGGTGAAATCAAGAATTCGAATACTTTATGATGAGTAAGAATTGTCAGTAAAAGATTTTATCACAAAATAGTGGTGATAATTACTTCTATAGTTTACTTATGATTTAATCATTAACACCGATTAATATAATGTAATTGGTTGCTGTTCTATTATAAAAAGTTGTTTCAAAAATAAAGAGACAAATTAAAAAAAGCGAATCGTGACATTATATACAAGAAACCTGTTATTATCATAATCCTAATTATATCATAAAGGAAGGAAGTATACAACATTCATAAGTGAGATCAAACGTCCTTAATATTATCTTTTCGTCCGTGGAGTATAGCTGTTAGCTAATTGGCTTCCTCCAAGTAGTTATATAAAAGAATAAATTAAGATGGATGTGACATAAAATAAAATCATCTAATTGAGTTTCACTCGCACATTGTCGGAGTACGGATAGCAAAACTATCTCGGGGCGAGGTTTCATTCAAGCGAAAATGGTTGAATAAATGTAGGGGCAAAGTCTAACGTAGACATAGCAAATATCAACAATTAGTCGGAGTGTGCAGCGGACCATGAATCGGCAACTTGACTTAACATGGCTAATTCTAAACAATGTACATACATTAATCAAAAACACCTTAGCTTTAGAATAAACATGTTAACTGTTGATTTCCGAGTGAATTCTATTAGCCAGTGTTGTACCCTTTCAAATATTTACTGCCGATAAAAAAATATATTCATTGCATAGAAAAAATAAAAGTTACATATTCTCACAATTTTACATAAAATGATTTTTATGTATGGTTCAATACTAAAATAGAATCAATCAATCTATAAAACAAATTTCGATACTCCTGGTACCGTATAACAAATACGCAATTTAAAAAATTCAAACGATTTACGTGCGACATAGCGTCGGAAATAAAATTTATTACTAAAAAACATCACACCATAGCAGAAAGAACAGGGGCGACACGCGCAACATATTTCAATTCAAATGAAGCCAGAGGAATAATAATCGAAAAATTATTTTTCTACCTCGCTGCTATTACTTGTACAAACAGAACAATATTCCGTACCCAGACC